ACCGTGCGACACACCCGAAGGAAAACAGTTGGACCGTAACTCCTCGGTTGAGCCTGGAATGAAACCGCTAACTGTGCAAACCGCACCCTTTCGGTGTCTCGGAGAATTTGCGAGGTCATTTGCGCGTGACGTTTTGAGCTGCCCGCTTTTTCGGAGGGGTCGGGGGTTGAGGTGACGCCGGGCCGGGCGCCGGAAACAACCTGAGCGGAAACCGCCTTGTATCGATTATGTCATTAGTGACCGTTGCAAATGAAGGTCATCAGGTGTCGTGGATAAAAGGGTTGAGAACATTTTCAGAAGAATCGAGATATCAGTTTTTTTTTTTTTTTTTTTTTAGGAAAGCTCCTTTTATTGTGTATTCTATGTTTATCTTATTTAGTACCGAACCAGACACATCGAAAGGGGGGTGGAAGGGGGATAAGAGGGGCACATTTTTGAGTTTTTGAAGCATCTAATGTGCTGTGCAGTATAAGTCAAATTCGTCATAACCAAATGTACGCGTCTTTCCTTCTTCTTTCCACCGTTCCTTCCTTCTTTCTTCCTTCACTTTTTCTTCCTTCTTGTTTTTGGGCGAACGATGGGGCGTGCTATCCCCCCCCCCCCCCCCCCCCCCCNTCCGCCTATGCTATTCTGAGCATTGAAGAATAAATGGCATTTTTTGACTCGAGTGCTCTCGTTTGAAGTAAGTTCATTTAAGTCCTTTGCTTTCACATAATTTCAATGAAGTTTGTTCAGAATAATAAAAGTGCCACTTTATTGGGGCCTGTGAATCGGGACAGCAGTTTTTACATAGAGTAAAACGAATACAAGAACAACCAAGCAAATTATACAGGGTTTATGACATATCTTCAAAATTAAACTTGCGAACTTTCGAGGACATATAAACTGTTTAGGGAATCCTATATTTTAAAATTAAGGATCTTTCAGGGACTTTCAAAACGATGTTCCAAGTTTTTTTAAAAAATGTGCGAAGTAATTTCAAAGCCTCGGGAAACGCATTAAAAATGAAACGTTTCTCTATCAATACCTTTATTGGGCGCATTTTTGCCAAACGGAACTATGTGCATTAGGACGTGAGCCCTGCCGGGAATGTCCTCTTATGTGTCTTAGGGTTCATGTTTCAATGCACATAGTTCCATTTGGCAGAAATACGCCCTATTCTGCGATACCGTTTTGCAAAATTGCAAGGAATGCAAGAGTATGATTTAAAATAATTGGTTTATTTAAAAAAAAAAAAAAAAAAAAAAAAAAAAAAAAGTATGATTTAAGGAGAAAACGATTTGACATTTCAGAAAATCTTCATACAGGAAAAGAGATCCGACTTTCTTGGCGATCATACCCAATATTTGAGGACTTTCATGTATTTTTATTCAGTTTCTCAAATTTCAAGAAAAATTTGATACTACAGCTCAAGGCAATTCAAAAACTTTCCAAGAGAAATCCCGTTTAAATGTGAGAAATACCAAAAAGTGTATCCTCAAATTGTTCACTAGCGAGTGACCATTTTTTTTTACGGAAACCTCTTGTGACTCGAGGAGAGATTTAAGTTCCCTGTCGGAGCTTCACGTCTTTCATGGTCATGACAGTGGCGTGGTGTGCTTTGCGATACATCGATTGATCGGTCATTTAAACCCGTGAAAAAGGATCGATATACAGGGTGTTCGGAACGAGCACCTTGATAATAAATTCTATACCATTGCATCAAATGCGGGTAAATATTGAAAATCGATCATTCATGCCTCGCCACTGGGCCATAAATACCTCTCGGCGTCTCGGGGGGAGAAGACAGCGCTGTACCCGAAACGCTTTTTCCCATGTGGAAAGAATTCCTCGAAGACGCGAAGTTCTCGTTATTTTTCGGCGAAACTTGGTGTCGGATCAGTTGAAAAGTTGTGATCTTCGACGCGCGTCGCGTCGGATTGTCGACCGAGAAGTTTCGACATCGAGTCACCCTCCGATCCAAGCGAAGTTGCCAGATTGCGCAATTGAATGCGAATATTTTACAAGGGTTAGAATGGGGGGGGGGGGGGAAGCGCTGAAATTGTAGCATTATCAGGCAACTATGGATCGGAGGGTCGGACGTGAAAGACATTGCTAAGAAAGGAACAATGAGGAAAAATAACAAAGGGATTTGATCCGTGGTGCCTCTAAATAGCCGCAAATAACAGTAGACGTGACCCTGCTCGTGAGAATATCGGAGCATGAGCCAAGTTTTCACGAGAAGCTTTGTGATGAGGGCTTAAATATCTTAATTGGAGATTCCGAATACGGCTGAATAATTCTCACCGTCTGCCGACTTGTCATCGTAATTCTTCGCGGTTTTGGGGTCAGCTCTACTGCACACGGGAAAAATGCCGTATGAGCCTTTAGACGTTGCCGAATTTGCTTGAATAAATACCGAATATACTGGGGAAACTATGGATATCCTTCTTTACATTTTCAGGGGAAATTGTTGGCAATTTAATCTAAAGTATCTGAAAATTTTAAGGGAGATTACGCTAGATTTTCCTCGAAAATACATGTTTAATCCGGGGAAATTTGACAACTCGCGAATTTTCATACGGGGTTCTTCCTTAGCATGACAGGTTTGCTGTCGAAATGGGAAATTAAGCTCCGATTCTTGTTTGACCTGACTAAGCTTTAATCCACTTCTTAACGACTCATTTTTGAGTGACTTACTGCCCTCACATTTGGCCCAATGCATTTTAAGTACGATAGACGTACTGCATACGGAATAAAGTACGGTAAGTATAGCTGAGAATTAACCTAATTCTCGGTGGAGAGGAACTTTTGAATGACGGTAATCAACAACCTTGTAGCATTTCCCGAATTATGTCAATGTTCTTAAAACATAAGGAATGGTTATATTATAAACATAACATAACAATAACATCCATTTTGATTTCTACACATAAAACATTTTATCTGTTCCGCTGAAAACATTACGAGTTACTGACAAATTTTTTAAAAATACGTGACGCCGATTGGTTCGTAACATTTTCCGCTGCACACCGCTTGAACGTCCGTGAATCGTTGAAGAGATGATTCGCGCTTGAAAAATTGAAAGCCCTCCGGCTATTTCAATGGCTGGATCTGGATGCAACTATTCGTGTTCTTGGGATGTCCATGTTGCATACACAAAAAATTGAAGGCGCTCCGCCTTTCTTAAGCAGCACGTGTGGCTGCAGTTAGTTCTCAAGGGTTTTTTACGTTAAATTCACAATCAAGTTTACAATAAAATCCTCAAAATTTGGATGAGTGTATAGCACCTTGGCAGCATTGCAAAGTGGTCCGAAGTAGTTCCATATCTTCGTTACGAGTTGGCTTCAGTAATATTCGTTGTGCGAATCGTGTTCTACGTGAAATTCTGGTTGAGGAACACGTATCAGATTGCTTAAATTCGTACCTTGTCTAGTGGTCCATTCCAAATATTCGGAAATCATCCTTAGATAAAGACTTCAATTTGTTTCAGACGTTCAGACGATTTTTTTAAATCCTCGTATAGTTTATAAGGGTGGGTCAAAATCGACATTGTAAATAGAACAAGAACAAACAAACACTAACAAATGTGGTCCGAACCGTATGTAACGAGGTGGTAAAGTACTGCTGTTCCCACCTTATTTTGTGGGGAGAGCAAGGCTATGACGTTAAACAATTTCAATTAATATAATTAGTAATATAACTTAGGATCATTTAGCAATTTAGTACAATAGAATGTTTCTCACAGGGCATTTGATAAAAAAAAGAAATAAAAAACAAGAAAAACCCGTTGATTTGACGTCACGTAGCCCAGGGATGAGCCCGAAGTTTAGAGCCGGAAAAGTAAAGAAATTAATTTTCAAGGCATCCTCAACGCGAGTGCAAAGCAATATCTGAAAACTACCACTACCAAGAGGTAGGAAACACTGAAAGCCCTGGAATGGGTGGGTATCATCTATCATGAGAGTGTCAGCACTGTCAGCCTCCGTGCGCGGACTATTTAGGGGCGCTTAACAAAAACACAAGGGGTAGTTAATTTATTGGATCATCGGCATGTTGAGTATCGCGCTACTGCAGTGATCGCACGATGCCATACGGACGGATTGTATTGATATACGTTTATACGAGAGCTCACTCCAAGTTCACTGGTGCCAGCTTTTGGTTACCTAATGAATGGATTATCAGACAGGGTAAATTAAGTTAGTACTAGTACCTTATCAATATTTCATCCAAAACACGTTGAATGCTTCGGAAACTACTGAAATCATGGTTTACATACACCTACATGGACGTATTTCTATCAAACTGAACTATGTTAGTTAGTTAGTTAGTTAGTTAGTTAGTTAGTTAGTTAGTTAGTTAGTAAGTATATTTTAGGACGTTCAGCGTCACAGGCTAATAACGTCTTTACAGATAATTTTGAAAATGGGAGTATATACGAAAATTTAGATTTTTAAATTAAGAGAGGAGAGAATTTTGGTAGTAATATTGGGCTCATCGCATGCGAGTGGGTTTGTATTTCCGTTCATTGAAGGGGAGTAGATCTGTGATGGGAGGTATTGGAGGGCAGAGCAGTCCATAAGTATGTGTTTGATAATTAGAGGTGATGAATTACAGAAGTGACAGATGGGTTGATTTTCTTTGGAGATGATATGACAGTGAGTGAAAAAAGTGTGACCTATCCTGAGACGCGCAATTTGGACTTCACATGATCTTGTTTTGTGGTTAGATGTTTTTGGATATGGCATGTTGTAGACCCTGAGACCCATAAGAATACATGTATATCAGGGCTCATGTCATAATGCACATAGTTCCGTTTGACAAAAATGCGTTAAAATAGAGAAAAAGCAGGGTTGTCAACTCGCGAAAACCATCGCTGTATCGACATGAGCATACCGCACGGTGAAGATTTTCTCCGTCACTGATACTTAACAAAGTCGGTCATAATTTACATACCATTCGGACAGCAAACATATTTTAAAACTTTCAGCTGTTACAGAGTGGATAATTATCATGAGTAAGTTCGTTGTTGGGCAGTAGAGCGAAGCAAACCCTAATAGACGCGTTCGTCATCTAAGTATGAGTAAGTAATTTTGTTCCTTCATGTTTTTCCTTGCCAAAGTTTGTTAATTGGGAATTATAAGTCTCATATACCTATATATTTCTGCAATTTTACTCATTTATTTTTGGACAATTGATTATCAATGTAATTTTCTAATTTTCTATCAAAAAACCGTTACATACGTCGGTTATTTGCGGATCTACATGTTTGCCCACATACCGAAATTCATAGTTAATACGGATGGTATTGCGTGCAATCCATAGTGTTCAAGAGATCGCTATTGACATTCTCGATTTTTTCCCTCTTCATTTTATGTTATTATTTGACACATTTCTTTAGTACTCTTTGTGACGCGTATTGAGCTTTATATATAATTCGACTTTATATGCACATACACCTAGAGAAGCTAAACATTTCCTAAGTTACTTCCATAATCAGATGATTTTAAGATTTTTCAATTCACACCGGTGTTTTTCTCCGAATTTCACCGATCGCTGCGGCCGCCCTTACCAAGTCTCTTCCGCAAGCATCAATTTCTGACCTACACTAATTTCACCAAATATTCCCACTAGGAAATCAACAAAAAGCAGGTTTCTTATCCAAATTGCATCAGTAACCGGGGCTCTTCCGCAAATATCTGGTGGTCATTAACTCCTCTTGATGTCACTAAATCAGCTATTTAAACGATTTGAAATCTCACAGAAATCTTAGCCTCCATTTTTATTCCGGCTCAATGCCCTGATCCACAAAGTCTAAGATACTAAATCGTAATGACGTCATTACGGATGGCACGTGACCGCTGTCGGCGTATCTTATAGTTCAAGAGTTAATTCATTTAAATAATTATAAAGGATAAGAATACAATTAATACTAGCCAACATATGAGAATATATTACAAATTCCTCGAAGATACACTATCTGAAAGTATTTGTCTAAATGTCAACAAGCCGTGTCAACCTCCAGAATAATTGAACAGGTTAAAAACATTCCAATTTTTGTGGCCATTCATCATCTTGATGGGACTTACTTACATGTTAATCGATGTTAAATGAACTCTCGAGATTCTTGCGGTACTTGCGGCGTACTTTTAAGAAAAATAAATTTAATAACAGAAAACCTCTCATTTCAATTTTTGAAATTGTTACCGGCTTGTTATTTCTGATCTCCTAAGTAGTTGGTGTTCTATTTGTTTTATTATTGGTCCGATAATCAAAAATAGGACAAAAACTACGAAGAAGTTTAAGAATAACAAGCGGGTAATTTAAAGAATTATCATGAATCCCGATAGAAGAGAAAAGGTCAACAAAATAAAAATCTCTCAATTTTTGAAGTTGGTCCTCAGTCAATTTACATCAGTTCAGGTGCGTTTGAGCAATAATCGATCATTATCTCGTTTCTTCCTTCCTTTTCTCTCTTCTCACAGTCAGTTGGAAGTTTAAACAGTCTCTCTCTTAATTTTATCAACCTTATGCTACCTCCTATTCTTTAATTTTTTCCTATTTTCAATAACTATCCAGGATTGTGTCCATCTGTAACTTTCTTTCTTTCCTCCCTCCTCTCTTTTTAATCCATTGTTCTTTCTACCAAAGTTGCCAGGAAACCACTCTATAATAAATGCGTTTTCAACCTCCATCTGCACGCTCTCTGAGACGCAAACTAATTTTCCGTTCCGTCATTATTTCAGACAACCACAAAAAGACAATGATCATCAGAATCCTCAAACATCGCCGATAGGATTTTCAAGCGTGCATCTGCATTTCCTCAAAAATTATCAAAATAACACCTGGTGGCAAAGACCCGAGAGAACATAGCAACGATAAGTAGATGAAAAGAGATAAAGGAATGATTCACAGAACCACTGATTTTCGGCCTGATTCTACGCGAGAGAAAAACCCCCTCTGGCCATTGGTGTTGATGGTTCGTGCGATGACCAATCGCCACTCTCTTCTGACACGGGCCGGAATCGCCATTCTCATGACTGCAGTTGTAGTACCAATCACAAGCGTAAGCGCAAATTGCAACTGTCACGATTGCGAACTATCACCGGTTTCCATCGAAGGTCCTTACTTCATCGACTTGCACAAGATCCGTAGCGACGTGCGAGAAAACACCACAGGTGTCAATCTCGAATTAAAGTTTCAGATCGTCGATATCGAGACCTGCAGCGGCATCGGCGGAGCTACCGTTGAAATCTGGAGTTGCGATGCACAAGGTTTCTACTCGGGGTACCTCGGAAGAAGCCCGGACGAAGTAGCGACGTCGGCCCGTCACCAGATGCCGACCGACAACTCAACATTCCTCCGCGGTGGGCAGGTTAGCGACGACGAGGGGTACGTCAGATTCCTCACCAAGGTCCCCGGCTACTACGCGGGCCGGGCAATCCACCTCCATGTCTTGGTGTCTGTGCTAAAATGGGACGTGTTCGTTGGTCAAATGTACATGCCTGAGGGTATCATCGAGCATATACTCCAGGAGCCTGCTTATCATCGAGAGCCGGACGCGCCCTCTCGCGTGAGAAACGAGGAGGACATTTATTTCGTTTCCTCGGGTGGCAATATGACGACGTTGCTGCCTACCGTGGCCTATGATGGTAGTCTCCAGGCTTCATGCAGGCTTGGCGTTAAACTTAGAGCTAAGAGAGAATATTCCGCCAATTAACCGTTCACTGAAAAAAAAAAAAAAAAAAAAAAACACATTGGATCTAGAGTCCAGACTCTTAAAAACATCGTCAAGAAAAAATACTCTTCATTCAATCGGATTTAAGCTTAAATCAAGAACCAAGCCTCTTAATTTGAGCGGATTTCCTTTTGACTTAAGCTTAAATCTGATTGAATCAAGAGACTTTTTTCTTGTCAATGTTTTCAAGAGCCTGGATTCTAGATCCAATGTGTTTTCTTTTTTCCAGTGTTAGCGACCGGGTCTAATGGGTCGATTGCGCTGGCCACGCAGAATCGTGTTTTGATGCTTGAATCTTATAGATCAGCTATAAATAATAATATCCTCCCAACAGCAACTTCCTACGTTCAATATTAACCAAGATATCGCGCTTTGAAAGATCCGATTTTCAACGTCAACCACCGCGGTACTGAAAAAAAAAAAGAATCTTAAATTTGCCACCAAGAAGTATTTATTCTTCAATCAAGAATTTTGCTGGTTAATATAAACTACTTTTTTGTTTAACCCAAGCATAATTTTTCTTGTATCAAGAAAAATTCAGCTTGCAGTAAGATAAAACAAATTCTTGGCGGCAAACTCAAGAATCATCATGCTTGAGCCAAGCTACTTTTTTTTTCAGTGAGTGACACCCTTGGTTTCTTCTAAACCCTGCTCTCGTCAATCAGTGAAAAGCACATTAGCACTGGTTATCCCGCGTGAAACTTGGTTGAAATCAAGATGGAAGAAATCAAGAGTGTCACTACCGCGGTGGATGACGTCATGAATAGACCTTTACGAAGCGCAATATATCGGTTGATACTGAACGTAAAAAGTTGCTGATTGGACGGACCTTGTTGTTTTTAGCTAATCTGCAGGGATCAAGCATCAAAATACGATTCTATCACCTGCGCAACTGACCCATTGACCCGAGGCTTGTTGAAAACACAAGCCCCGCGGATTGTCCGGTACATTCAACCTTTCGATATAGGACTACACAGATGCATCGTAAAATAAGATTCAGACGTCAAATTGAGGAAAAAATGAGGTATAAAATCGAGTGTCAGGGATTTTTTTGTCGGCGACTACCCCTAAAAATTCCAAGCCGGGTCAAATTAACACGACTATCTCTTTTAGGGGACTTGCAGGGCTGGTACATACAAGTTTTAGATCTTTAGTTTTAGATTTTTAGATAAGATCTTAAAATACAACCTAATTAAAGAACCAGATATCAGATTGAAAGAAAACCAAGACAAATCGAGTGTCGACACAGCTGAAGATAGAAGAGATGTAATCGGGCCTCGTTTTTGCATTATTCTTCCGAATCTGGATGACACCTCATTGGCAACATAGTGCGAAGCGTTGCGACTTCACGCCTCGCGCCATAGCGCCTTCAATTTTGTAGATGCATTACGGACATCCATCAAGCACGAATAGTTGTATCACTGCGCCGTCGTGAACGCGCTTCCTTTCCCCTGCTCTATGTCCGTGCTGAGTTGGTTCCGTTTGTCTTATTTATAGTGGTGCTTCTAGGGCTACGTGAGCAACACATATCTTTGTAATTCAATGTGTTTTGTAATTTTTCTGGCTAATTAGAGCAACATGAGCTAGACAGCCGTCAGGCCAATTTTAGCCATTAAAATTTTGCATTTTTCATCAATATTCTTTTAGCCTAAATCGAGCGTAACTAAACCGATCCTGTTCTAATCCAACCACAGTTCAGCAAACTGCTCCTTAACTTGAGATTTTTAAAGTTTAATTAAGTATCACAATGAAAAGCGGCATAATAGAGAGAAAACATTGAAATGTTCGGCTAAACGTGCTTTAAATATTTGGGTCAAGGAAATTTTTATAAATTATCTTTGGAAGCAGAACTCGGCGCGTGTGGAGTAATCGCTTCAAATTTGTCTCCTATTTGCATACAATCTACTGCACACAGAAAATATCAAATGAACATAGTGGGCTACCAAATTTCATATCATGCACAGTAGAATGTGCGCAGTGTCGTTAAATATCAAAGGGTTCATTACCATCTTTTTTCTCCGTGATCTGAGTGCTTTTTCTCTATTGCCTACGTCTCATTGACACTTCTGACCCTAAAGAGACATTTTTGGCTAAAAATTTAGCCCTCGAGACAAAAATTAACAGGCACTCAAATTGTCTGCCAAATATATTAGGTGAAAGAACCAGGCTTTATGCATCACTAAAATAGCGTGGTTGCATGTTAAAAATGGGATCAGGTCGCCACTCAAATTTTGAATTGACTCCCGCACTTTTTACAACTAAAAATGAACATAAGGCGGTTTGAAAATTTCTATCAAAATGGAATCGTGCCAATGAAATTTCATCTTTCTTGCTTGTGAGCTATTCTACCGTGCTAAGGAAAAACACCGCAGAGACTCTCAGACATTGCCAGAATTCCTTCGATAAAAACCGAATGTACTATTAATATTCTGGATATTTTTCTTCCAATTTTCCAGACAATTTTGTTCGCAATTTAAGCATTTATTTCTGAGAACTTCAAAGTAAAATATACACAGCTTTCTTCAAAAATTAATATTTTATCGGAGAAGATTTGGCAACGTCTGAAGGCTCATATGGCGTTTTTCGTAAGCACGGCAGTATTTTAGGGCATTAGAGATTGTGTGTACTCATTATTCGTTTGCACAATGAAGCATTTATTTTCAAAGAGGAGTAATCAGTTAAAAGCTCAATTTTGAAAAATTTGGCGCTTGTGCCCCTCATTGAATGAACCTTTTAACTTTGAATAGTTGAACAAAAATAGAGGAACGCTAGAGAGAGGCAGGAGGGAACGATGACGTAATGCGGATTCTTCGCTTTCAAAATTTTGTTGCATGCATCATTGAGTCCCTCCTCGCTTCGCTGTGCTGACGTCAGAGCAGAGTGCAGCAGCATATTCATCAGTTAATCGACGCGCCCTTTGCACAGGGTACAGGGTATTGAGGCCCATCGTCTATCTAGTCCGTATACGTGCTCCCCGGAGAATAAGCACGGACTCCGCGGAAGTACCTCGGTCGGGTCACTTTTAAGTTTGCCTTAAAAAAGTATTTCCTCTTATAAAAGAACGAAGAATTGTACGTATTTCTGCCAAACGGAACTATGCGAATCATGACGTGAGCCCTGTTATGCATTTAATATTATGGGTCTTAGGACACATGTCTTAATGCACATGGTTCCGTTGGGCAGAAATATGTCCAAATGAGGGGCTTGAAGGACAAGGCGCAGAAGTGCAGTTCTTGCTATTTCAAGAAATACATGTTTCAAGTTTCAAAATTACTTAGAGCTTTATGATAGAAAGGAAGTTCAAACTAGATGTTTAAGGATTTTAAGTTGGATTTTAGTGGTGAATTTTTCACAGAATATACTTTCAAACTAGTTTTAGTTGAGTTCGTGAAATTTTCAATATTTTTTAAATTTCACTTATGTGCATTGTCCTTCAAGGCCTTCGTTTAAGGACGCGGGATCAAAATCACTTATCATTAAAGCTACCTTTTCATAGATTCAAGCGTCATTTTTTGTGGATTTCAAGTGAATTTAACTGATGATTATGCAAAGAGATAAAAATTTGTTGGCAGATTTGTTGGCTTTGTTGGCTTGAAAACACTGAGACAGGACTTTCGGGAGGTATTTCCTCGAACCGGAAAAGACTTCTTCATTTTAACAAAAACTATATTAACTATATTTTTGAAAGTGAGGAGATATTTGACGAGATCCCTCAGGATGTCGGCTATGTCCTTTTGTTTTTTACATTTTTTTCGCACCACCGCATTGTTTATTTCGAAAAATTGTTTCTGATGGTATTATAAACTCTGCATAGACATTTTCCCAAGTATATCGTTCTATTTTCCCTCCTTTTCACCGTCTCTCCTCTTCTTTCTTTTCCCTTCCTTCCACTCTGCTTCGCTCCTTTCCCCTCCTCTACGCGAATGGAACGCATAGGTTAATGCTGCCGTGCTAAGGAAGAACGCCGTAAGAGCAATCAGATGTTGCCAAGTTTCTTCCGAGAAAAACCGAATTTACTGGATTAAATTGTAAATATTATTTTCCGAATTTTCAGACAATTTTGTACGCAATTCAATCTACAGTATCTGAAAATTTTAAGGAAAAATATGCATGAATGTTGTCAAAAACACATTTTTAATCGTGGGAAATTTGGCAACTCTCGAATGTTCGTACGGCGTTTTTCCTTAGCACGGCAGAGTGGAGGATGGAAGGAAAGGCTGGAACAAAAATAAGATCCCGACTCGTGCGGTGGAAAGGTTGAAGGCAGAGATAGCGAACTGAGCCGTTCCTTCACTGCCAATAAATCAGCCAAGAATGCCACCCCTCCCCCTCCCACCCTGAGCCCTTCCAAACTTTGCGGAATATAATACAATATACCTGCAGCTGTAGATATTTTATGTTTGCACTACGAGGCGCACAGGCGGTGGGGAGGGGGGGGGGCGAGGAGGGGCGAGGGGGGAGCGAGCGAGAGGGCGCTCAAGGCGGGATATATGGAGGGAGATAGTCGCGATGGCTCGACTGATGCACGAATGCTATTTAATTATTAGTGTTCCAGTTTTATATCCGGGGCTTTATTCTGCCGTGCTGAGGAAGAACGCCGTATGAACATCCGAATGCTGCCAAATTTCTCCGGATAAAATATGTATTTTAAAAAAAAATATGCGTTGTTTTCCTTGAAATTTTCAGACTTTGTAGATAAAATTGCGAATAAAATTTTCTGAGAAATTTGAAGAAAAATATGAAGAATTTTCCTAATAAATTAGGTTTTTATCGAAGGAAATACGGCAGCGTCTGAAGGCTCATACGGCGTTCTTCCTTAGCGCGGCAGTATCCCCGGCTTGATTAGACTCCCGGCTCTCCACTTTATACTCCCGGCTCTCCATAAAACACACAGAAAATGTGATCAATAATAAACTGCACTCAGGGATGAGTTCCCTCCTCGGTCCAAATTATTTATTTTTCTACCCCCCCTCCCCCGCGGTGTCCTTCCTCTCTGGTCCGCTTGGCATCTATCAATATACCTCCAAACCGCAAGCTCACCTTGAACAGTTTCCACCGGCAACTTTTCTTCCGTGAAATATTAGCATTTCTACAGCAACAGTGGCGTGGCGTGAATTGCGATACATCGATTGTTATGCCATTTAAACCTATGAAAAAAGGTCGATTATCAGGGTGTTCGCAGCGAACACCTTAGTAATCGATTCTTTACCATAGCTTCAAATGGCGAGATATCGATATTGATTATTCACGCCACGCCACTGTACAGCAACGCACCTCTGCGGTGAGAAAATATCGGTTCGCGGAGCTCTTGGTCCAAGTAATCTAAGTTTTTAGTGTTAGGAATGAAGCTATAGTTCAGGAAACCCGGGCTCCTGTTGGTACGCTTCCGATGTGATTCTTTATTACTCTGAACCGAGCATCCGCGGGGAAAAAGTGTCAGGGGTTATCATCTAAAATTGTGGTGCTACCCCAATTCGTATGATAGTATAGGGATTTCTAATTGATTTCGGCAGTACTGCAACATTTGGGTTAGTAACCTAATTTATTGGGGTACAACTACAGTTAATTGGGGGTAAGGAAGAACACAGTATGAGCCATTAGGCGTTGCCAAATTCCCTTCGACAAATCACGGATTTTCAGGAAAATTTGTGACAGCCTCACTTCCAATTTTTCAAAGAATTTGGTTCGTAATTTGATCTGAGAAGTCTGAAAATTTCAAGAAACAATATGCACAACTTCCCTCAGAAACAAGGTGGCGAAATGGTGCTGGGTCTACACCATTTTGCGGGGAAAACAAAGCCAAAAAATTCCAAAACATTATCAATTAGAGTCAATTTTTTTTTTTGTTCTAATGAGTGCCATCACAGCATACTGGTACTCATTAGAGCAAAAAAAAAAAAAAAAAAAAAAACTCTAATTAAATTTTTTTCTTGGAATTTCTAGGCTTTGTTTTCCCCGCAAAATGGTGTGGACCCAGCACCGAATATTCCTCCACCTTGTTACATACAGTTCGGGCCATTTTGTAAGTGTTTTTTTTTAGAAAATGTTTTTTTCTCGTTTCCTCGGAAATAAATATGTTCTGAGAGGAGACTTGGCAACATTCGACTGCCCATACGGTGTTTTTACTTAGCACAGCAGTACGTGAGACTGCGTACGGAAGACTGAAAAACCTGGGTGAAATTGAACCGAATCTTTCCGTGCAAACGGCAGGGGTAGGGTCAAATAGCGCTCTGTGCGCGCACCAAAATAATGTCACGTCTTCGTGTAGTCGCGTGCCTTCAAAAACGCACCGTCGTCATGTGCTCACTAGTTGTTTTCTATTGATATTTATGAGATTCTTGACACTTGTTGCGGTGACGTTACCTTTCCGATAAGTTTGCACCGTGAGAGATATTTTTGGACTCTCTTTCTACTCCCATTAGTAATTGGTCACTAAAAATTACCAGTTACGGAACGGGTAGCCAATACTTTTTGTCAACTTTTTCCTCTAATACTTGGCTTAATTTAAACAAACAAAATGAAAAAATTTTGCCTGAGCAAAAAAAGTGTCGGAAAATTTTGCAAAGCGCATCATACCTACTTAAAATCATCCGTTTGGCTGGTTTGGCGACGAGTGGACCAAAGCCCTCCTAGCTCCGACGGGCCATTCCTGTCAACAAATAATAACAAAAATAATCAAACAAATTATTCTTGAAGAGAGAAAAAATGATAAATAAAAAGAAAAATCGCAGAAGTCGAAAATAAAAAACAAGAAATGGACACCTCAATAATAATCATACATCAAGATTTGTCGACTGCGTCATCCAATTTCAATAATAAAGGGCACCAATATCACAGAAATTGCCGAATTTAGCGTCCTTAGTTGCATAGACTGGACCAAAATTATTAGCGTCACTACATTTAAGATCGTCTGATTTCCTTTCATATTTTACTTTTTTTATTAGAGAACTAATGTACTTAATGCTAATAAACTTTATGTGAATTGTTCCTCAATTATAGGTAATAAACTCATAAAATTTTCAGTCTGACTGTTGCTTGGTAATCAAAATATAAAACATCAGCGGAAATTAAGCAACGTCCGGTGTAATCAGGATGATTCTGGTTAAATCTGACCCGTTATATGTGTTACGGAAGATGGGGATTCGCGGAAATGCAAATAACGCCTTGATACAACTATACGTACTCGATGGATGTCCATATTGCATATACAACTAATTGAAGGCGTTTTTGTATCAGCGACTTGATGAGCAGCCTTCGTCCCTTAACTAACCCTCTGCAGCCGAGGGTTAGGAAGCTGATTGTTCGTTATAACACCTGAACGCACCTATTCCTGCTAAAAGGATGTTTACTAGGGGGCGCGCCCCCTGACCGCTAAGCAGCCCCACCCCTCAAAGGCGCTTTGTGTCGTTTGCCGTTAGTTAATCTTAACAGAGCGGGCTCATTTAGGTTGAATGTTTCAGTGATCGGTACCGGGTCGTTTAAAAAAACTGTGTACCGACCGTTGATACTGTATTATACCGCGGTGCTAAGGAAGAACGCCGTATGAGCCTTCAGACGCCGCCAAATTTCCTTCAACAAGTCACTAATTTTCGGAAAAATTTGTACATATATAATTATATATACTTTTCTCCCGATTTCTCAGAAAAATTTGTTCGTTTTGATTTAAAACTTGTGAGAAATATTCACAGAGGGAGAAATATTCATAACTTTCTTCAAAAATAGATATTTTCTGAGAGGAAATTTTGCAACGCCTGAAGGCTTGTACGGCGCTCTTCCTTAGCACGGCAGTAGAAATAGCCGTAAAAATCATGAAAATTGGCTGGGTGAATCCTTAAAAGAACTTGCAAATAAAATGAACATGTACAATGTTGAATTGGGCGAAGGCACAACTTTATCACGTGATATGGAAAAAAACCAATGTCTTATATCCAACATCTGAATATAAGGGATTCACAATCAGCTAGAGATTATCAACTGTCAATAGCCAGTGCAATCATGGAAATCGACCTAGTACAACGGAAAAATGAACTATGACCTAAAAATCAAAATTTAGATGGTCATAGAACTCACAGAAATAATTTCTGTCACAATCCCATGACAATCATTTCTGTAAAAAATTCATTCAACTGACAAAGAGGAGCAAGAGGCCTCAGGGATTTTTGGAACCGCTCAACTCAACGCCCCACGTGATTTGCAATTTGTGTGCCCCTCACGACGTCCTGCCTACCTACTCTGCCGTACTAAGGAAAAACGCCGTATGAACCTTCAGACGTTGCCAAATCATCCCCGCTGAAATACAGTTTCAAGACAGGGTGTCTTGTTTTGTTTTTTTTCATTTTGGGAAATCCTAATGAAATCCTGATTTCATAATTTTTCCAAATCCTGATTTTTGCGGAGAAAAATTAAAATTTCTGCATGAGCGTATGCGATCGGACGGCCGACTTTTCTCAAATCCTGATGAAATCGGGATTAAATTCTGATTGACCTCAAATCCTGATAAAATTTGGAAAATCCTGATGCTAGATACCCTGCAAGAAAAATATCCACAATTTTCCTGGTAAATTAATTTTTTATCGGAAAAAATGTGGCTACGTCTGAGGGTTCATACGGCGTTTTTCCTTTGTGCGGGCGTGCTGAAATAAGGAAGTCTGGCGCAGCGGGTTCGGGCGTTTACCCGACGACCAACGACGAGGTCAAGTAACATCCCTTTTGTGGGGATCTCCGACAACAAGTGAATCATTTATAAGCTACATTTCACATATCACACGAGGCGCTGAAGAAAAGAGGCCTCGTGTTCAGGCCATCGTTCCCGGTTCGGGCCGTCCGACCGCGAGGCTGGAGCCGGGCGACGTTGCCAAATCCCGCGAAAAAATTCAAATCTTCAACAGTTACCGGTTAACGCGAGGCCTTGAGCGGGCAACACCGTCCGAAGGGATGAGAGCTCAGGGAGTTTGCTCAAGATATTATCGTCCCTGAGTGCTGCCCATGACATTAGATAGTACTCCTCCTCCCCATCCCTTGCATCTTATATTCCGGTTCCCTTGCTCCGTCGCACGGTGGAGCGAGTCAATCCGAGAGTTTGGACAAAATTTGGAAACTTTAAACGCTTATAACTCCGTTCTTACGAAACGTTGAGGTTATAAAAGTGGTTCCATTGGTTTCCTCGTCAAATTTTCCTGAAGAAGCACCCGTTATTATTTAAAATGTGACAAATTAAACATAAAAATTTCCAGTTTTGGTTGAAAATTTCATGTCTGACATATCCGATTGACTCGATCCACCGTGCGCCGTACCACGTACGTGTCTAAACATTCCCGGGCCCCCCTTGACTGTCATACTCAACTTCCGTCCGCCAATCGATAGTTCAAAGGTTGGACCGTTTTTTCGTCTCTTCCTTTATCCGTGTTCGATTGTCGCTGAGTTGAGCATGATGCTTTTCTTGAAAGCTACTGATAGCGTTTTCAGGGTACATATTGTCTGCAATGGAGTTTCCGCAAGAGCGCACCGAGGAAAAAACCATCGTCTTACACGGAGAGAGAAAAAAACTCGGTTGTACGAATCAAACAGTTTAGAGGGCGCTTTTTAGTCCGTGGGGTGAAGCTCTGAATGGGCGTATCTCTATTTTCTCATGAGCCCTGGAAAGCACAGTGTTACATGGAAAACAGGGTTCAAGTGGAGATGGGAAAACGGGCTTCACGTCGGAGGAATGAAGACAAGCAAAGCGATCGTTTTAATTGACAGAACAGAGCTCCACTTCGGTGAACCGAAGAATCAGTTCTCCACATCGAAGAACTTCGCTTCACATGGAACATGCTTCCTTTCCGACCGAAATTATTCGGTTTGGTGAATTGAATCTTCGGTTCACAGAATGGAGATGTTGCATGGTTTAGGAATTTGCGATTTGACTACTGATTTTATGTAAAAGCTGTGCACTGTATTTGCTCCCTATCTTTGCATAGAGAGTTTGTCTTGATGTAGAGGTGGACTCACAGGATAGCGTGGTATATCCCCTCCATTTTTGCCTCAACTTGAGAGCTTTTTTTGAGTTTGGGAGTTGATTTCAGAGAGAACCAGTGGCACCATCGTGTTTCTCGCGAACTTTTACATAGTAGTCAAATCGCAAATTCCTCACACATGCAACTTCTTCATTAAGCTTCGGCACGCGGTGAACCGAAGATTCAGTACACCACATCGAAAAACTTTACTCTACTCAGTATGAAGCAGGTTCTACATTGACCAAAGTTTTTCGATTCGGTGGACTGAGACTTTTTGATCTTTGAATTGAATTTTCGTTTCATCGAAATAAAATTCATAGTTCTAAGAACTAAAACAAAGAAGGTGAGTTTTTCACCTCTACAGTGCTAAAAAGAAACGACGTGTAAGCATTTGAACGTCTCCTATTTTTCCCCAAAAATATATTTATTTTTGAGGAACTTTATGCCTATTTTTTCTGAACTTTTTTAGATCCTTCCGCGTCAATTGTGAATAAAAACTTCGGAAGAAAAAGTATTCACAAACCTTCCTAAAAAATTGTATTCAATCAAAGAAAATTCGGCGACTTTCGTGAGATTATACCCAAGTGGCATTATTCAACGTAAAAATTGCGAGATTTTGAAATTGAATGCGATTTTTCGGCGATAAAATCGCTGGGATTATCTGAGTGATTATCCTCGATCTTGTCGCTATTTTATCTCTATGAAATCGCGTTCGATATGAAATCGAGATATTATCTCAATTTATGACGATCTTTTGTTCGATAACATTGCAATAAATTGCTGTCGATAAATTCGCAATTTCATTGCAAATGTATGCAATAATATCGCAATTTATCGCAGATGTTTATCCGATACTATTGCAATAATTCGACGTCGATCAAATCACGATACATTCTCCAATTAAATCGCAACTTATTGCGATCATATACTGCTACTTGGGTACGTCGTTTATCCCTGATATAGCACCATACTGCCGTGCTAAGGAAAAACGCCGTATGAGCCTTCAGATGTTGCCAAATTCACTTTGATAATACATGAATATCCTGGTAAACTTAAAAATATATTCCTTCCAATTTTTCAGATAATTTTGTTCGCAATTTCACCTGAAGTTCCTGAAAATTGCAAGGAAAAATATCATATTTTTTCTCAAAAATAAAAATTTTACCAAAGGACATTTGGCAACGCCTGAAGGTTCATACGGCGTTCTTCCGTAGGATGGCAGCATACTGCAACATTATCGATCACATACGTTGAGGAAACGTAAGATTTTAAAACTGCATACAACACAGCCGGAAACAAATAAACAGAGCGAACGTAAATAGAACCGAGCTTATACACAATTCACTTTCGGCGAACTTATTGATGTGCGTGTTGCGAGTGGGCGAGACAAAAGATTGCTCTCCGCCGAACTTCCACTTAACCCTCGCTCGCCTCTCTTAGTGTTCAATTTCAATTACGACTGAAAGCTCTCTTGATCCGCCCCTGAGCCAGGAGAGAAAAAGGTAAAATCTATAACAGGTACTCAAAACCCCTTCGCCGCTGTACGTAAATCATTAAAAATAAACATCGAAAATCCTGTAAACCTTTTTGTGTAAACGAATATGATCACGGAATGTCACCGAAATATAATGATCTAATTTTCTGCCAGCGGGTC